GGCTGTGGCAGACTGGCTCTTATCTGGCGTCCCACCCAGCTCACTGACATCCCTGGTTGCCAGGAGCTCGGTGGGATGCAAGCCAAAGCATCCCAGTTCAGCTTCTGGCAACCGGTGATGTTAGTGAGCTGGGCAGGAAGCAGCACTGCACAGAGCGTCACAGGTTGCTAAGAGCTATTAGCAACCTGTGACCTTGTGGCCTCCCCCCTGCTGCCCCCCATCACCACCCGGCTACTCCCCAGTGAAATACTGCCTGAGGCAAGTCAGAGTGCCTCATTATAGGGACAGCTCTGCCCTTCAGTTTCTATCTGTTCAATGTAAGTTTCATCATGTATGCTGTTACATAACATTTCCATCACATTTTTCACCAGGTGTTTTATGGGAACTCAGACCGCTCATCTACTGTACAGAATTTCCTGCGACCTCCAATCACTGCACGCTACGTTAAGATGATCCCACTAGGCTACCATGTTCGCATTGCTATAAGAATGGAGTTATTGGAATGTATGAGCAAATGTGCTTGAATTAAAAGCTAAAACAACTAAGGATGAAGAATTGTTAATATGGAACATTAAAGATTAAAGCAATGGAATCTTCTTTAAGTTTCATTGTGCGTTGCGTGTGTGTTTCATACATTAAATATTCCTAACAATATACCCCAAAACTACTTGTGATAAACCAAATCATTGTAGGCTGTTGATCATGTTTATTAGCTGATTTTTTTTATTTTTTATAAAAAAACAAAAAACTACTTTACAAACATTGAATATAGAGTGCATCCAGGACACTTCTTGTAAAGTATGCCGGGTTTTCTAAAAAGAAATCCCAGGACTACCTGTTTACTTGGAGACTAGACATGTAAATGTCATGTCTTCCTGAATGGATAAATGAATTTCATTAAAGGAGAACTATGGGGTCAGTGTTTTTCCCCATAGTTCTCCTTAGGGTAACGGGAGGACAAACTAGCGTCCTCCCGTTACCCTAAGCTCAGTATACCGCGAGCTACAGCTCGCGGTATACTGAGACGCCGCAAAGAAGTGAACAATCTAGGACAACATAGCTGAACTGGAGCGTGAGCTGAATTGTAGAATTTTTCCAAATCAGCTATGTTGTCCTAGATTGTTCCCTTCTCCTGCCTTCTCCAAACTCTTCCTTTTGTGAATAATCCTGTTTATGTTCATTGTTGTGTACATTTCCTGTAGAAACTGTCTAGTGTCTGTCATGCGTCATGTCTTAAAAGGTTATATTTGGCCTAAAAAACATAATATATTTAAGAAAAATGCATCTAAAATGTTAATATTCTGCAGTACATAGTGTACCCTGAGGGATTTTCTAGCTGTAGTTAAGATAATTAATCAGGCATTGAAACAAGAACTCTTTATTAGGGAAAAACAAAATTGTTCAGGCTTTATTAACCTTTGCACAAATGAGAACAATTGCTTATTAGTTATGAGTGGCAGCTAGTAATTAATTACATTGGTCTGCTTTTCTTTTTTTGGCAATACAAAAAGTTAAAGCTGAACTCCAGGCAGACATAAAAGATGCAAATGAATGCAGCTCTCTATTCATTAATATATAATGAAATGTATTTTGTCTATTTGCAAGCACTGTAAGTACCTGAATTTGTTTTAGTATCAGCATCTTGCAATACTTGTACAGCAGAGGGAGCGGGGGAAAGAGAGAACAGTGATTAGCAGAAATTAGCAGATCAATAGTCCGTTTCTTCTTTCACTGTCCAGTCACAGGCTGGGGGCAGGAAGGACACTACTATGTGTTAGTCAACTGCAGTAGTGAAAAATAAAGTCCTCTGCCCTACCAGACAGGGTTGTACTGTGTGGCAAAGCTGTGTAAATCTTAGGGCTGGTTGGATAGCAATACCAATCCTTTCAATCCTGCAGGTAAAACAGTTTCATCTATGCATTTAAACTTTGGATTTACTTATTTTTCTGGATTTCAGCTGTAAGTATACATTTCATTGGAAATTCATATATTACACATCAAAGAGAAAATAAGGTTACTTTTTATAGTGATTGTAATGCTATGTAAGTATACTCCGGGTTAAAGCCCAACTCTGAGCACAATAATCTTACCAGGTTTACGCCAGTAAACATTCCTTCGCCTTATAAGCAAACCATTACAATGCAGGTTTTCTTCCATTTCTTGAAAACCAGTTTGTTTAGATGTCGGAATTAGTACATGGCTTTTGGGTCGCTCCAGGTTAAAGTGCTGCAGATTTCAGAGACCCCAGCACTGGTGTTTTTCCCATTTTCTCCTGGCCATTCACAAACAAACACTACTAACAGCAGGAAAGTGACACAGTGTGCCCTGCGTATCTCCATTACATTGTTAGGTGGTATGTAGAATGTCCAATGTACAAGGCTGGTTAAAGGAAAACTCCACTTGTGTTACATTTTATAAAATGAAAATATTTTAATCTTGTAACCATGACAACATGGGTGTTCTGTAGCATGTTTGTATATAGACCACCCCAGAAATTTAGTGCTCACTACTTCTCCCAACATTATTACCTTTAATATAATGTTGCTCCCATGATTTTAACAATCTGACCTTCTCAATGGTAAGTAGGAAGTGACAGGAATGTGTGTTATCAATCAGCAGCAGGCCTACAAAAAGAAAACGAATGCAGACACCACATCAAAGAACAGGTAAGCTGCAATATGTTGCACTGAATATCTATAAAAATAGCAAAGCCAGTGGAAATTATTATAACGGATATATAAAACTGTTGCTAAGTCTGAAAAGCAGGAAAGCTTGTTTAGTTATATAGTACAGGGCTCAAAATTTCAAGTCCTGAGCTACTAGCCAGGCCTTAAAAGTTACTAGCCACCAGTTGCCCCACCTAATCCTTACCCTGCCTGGCCTTGACTCCGCCCCTAAACACACCCTCTTAAATAATCTTATGATTATTCTTATCTTATGATAGTTGCCACTTGTAAACGGCAGATTAGGGATTCCTGCTGCAGGAAAACGCAAGTTCCTGACACAGGAATCTCTAATCACACCTGAAATATACTGTAGGTGTGAATGGGACCTAATATACACATACACTAAAAGTGTCCAAACACCTGCCGATTATCGTACGATAATTGCGGGTGATCCCACGATCGTACGATAATCGGCAGATGTATAGGCAGCGTGCGACCGCTTCTACTGTAAGGTCGCACAACTTTCGTCTTCTGAACACGCTGGAAAACCTGCCGAAAATCGTACGATTTTTGGCGGGTTGGTGGCATGGTCGGAAGACGAATGCCGCATGGGCCGGTGTGCGCAAGCGCACACTGCCGCTCAGCACTGCCCCCTCAGCAATGATCGCAAGTACGATCTGCCTGTCCAAGATGGGCAGATCGTACGGGATTTTAATGACCTAAGCGGTCTGCGACCGTGTGCCTGACATGTCAGTTGGCTGCGGGCCACATAGTACCGGCTCGTGGGCCAGAGTTGGCCCGCGGACCGCTACTTGGAGACCCAAATTTCCACTGATAGAGCCCTGATATAGTAAATGCAAAAATCCCCCCCAAAATATAACAGGATAAGGCATCAGAACTAACTGCATTATAAAGTATCTTTTATTAGCAACATGTACCCACAATAAATAACTACCAATGCCAGCATCACTTGACTAAATATAATCCGGGACATAAAGTGCAGTCTGTGTGAAGAGGTCTCAATGCCATTAGACCTGTGGTTCTCAACTGGTGGGTCGTGATCCAAAAGTGGGTCAGAAGCCTGTGATCAGTGGGTGAAGCTCCTCAGTCTCACCCTAGCACAGCACTGTCAGTTTTCACGCCGAGCAGCCATTCAAAATATGCTGCCCGCCGCCAAGTGTCAGCTTGAGGTGAGGTAGGGTGGGCTGGGGGTTTGCCTTGCAGCACTGGGTCCCCGGTTTGAATCCCAGCCAGGTCACTATCTGCAAGGAGTTTGCATGTTCTCCCTCTGCTTGCGTGGGTTTCCTCCGGGTACTCTGGTTTCCTCCCACACTCCAAAGACATGCTGGTAGGTTAATTGGCTCCTCTCTAAGTTGGCCCTCTACGTATGCATGTGAGATAGGGACCTTAGATTGTAAGCTCCTTGACGGTAGGGACTAATGTAAATGTAAGTAAAGCGCTGCATAAATCGTTGGCGCTATAGAAATACCTGTAATAAATAAATGTCCTGTAGAAGTGCATGGACCGGAATGACGTCACATTCTGGCTCCCGCCACCTCTACAGCACGCGCAAGGGAGCTGTGCAAACAATGCACATATGCAAGGAGCTCTGTCACAGCACAGCAGCCCACACTGGACCCCAGGCGGAGGATCCACTCCAGTTCTCATTATGTAAGGGAGATGAGGTAGATCTTAAAAGTATCTCGGAGTACGTGTATGAGAATGTCTGTGGTTGTGTGTGTCTGTCAGTGTTTTTGAGGGCCCGTTTACACTAGTACAGTGTGTTTAAACAGTCTTATACAATTAACGCACTGTACCATGCAATCACACCTACCGTGCCGGAGGTGCATTGCCATTCATTTGAATGGCCCCCCAAAGTTCGATCGGCTGCACTGGAACGCGTGGCACCGCAATGCCGTGCATTCCAGTGCAGTGCAACAAATGTGAACCAGAGTCTATACAGGTTGAGAACCTCTGCTCTACATCAATCCCACCTAACTGCATTATATTACATACTTTGTTTTTGGGTTTAGATACACTTTAAGGATTACATTCTGAGCAGATAAAAAAACATTTCATGCGGTAGTTTTTTTTAATGCGTGTTTTTATACTACTACATACCACCTACATAAGCACCCAAATCTGTCTTTTTCTCAGCCTTCTTCTGATTTAATCCCACATTACAAAAATATATTGATAGTTTAAATGTTATGTTCAGAGTAGGGAAGAAACTGGAAAAAAACTGTAAAATAGTAAAAAAGGACTGGTAAGCTGCAATATATTACATTTTTGGTATTAGGTTTAGATGAGCTTTCAAGATTGTGCACAGCCAAAACTTCTTTTTTAGTCTAGAAAAGATAAGTCCTGTCAGCTTATTTTTTTATACTGTTTGTGTCTCCTTGGGAAGATTTTTCTTTACTTCCTGTCCCAGGGAGGCAACAGAAAATCAGAAGAAATCTCCCCAGAGTTAGAAGAATTCTCTTGTTATACAGTTGTCAGTGGAGTAGACGACCCCACTGGAAGAGTTTCCCTCATCTCCTTTTCTGGTGACAATCTCACAATTTTGGATTTCCACTCACTTATTGTTTTGATGACAATGGCCATAAGGACAAATAGAGTAGTAAATCTTCACAGTGGTGACATAGAGAGCAATGAAAACTTTACTTGAGTGTCTAACCGTTTCCCACTATCTAAAACTAAAAAACAGGTTTTGCGTTTATTTGCACTTTAACTGATGGGACCTTTTTAGGCCAAACATAAACATACATTGTAAAGGATAATGCGCCTCCTACAATATTTCAAAATGATATGAGAAGTCAACTCAAAGTTTTAGAACTTACAGCTTTTATAATGGTTCCAAAAATTCTTATTGGCTTTTAATGCTCTCACAAATGACTCTAAAGGCAGCACTATTCTCTTTATAAAAATGAAATGTGCTATTTTATTCCATTCAACATCACACAAAAAAAATCTGGCAAAACATTCATAACTATTGTAGGAAAACTACAATGTAGGAAAATTTCACCACAAAATGAATGAATTGCAATAAAGTAACACCATGTATATTCATTAATAATAATCAGTTTGAATATAGAGAATTCTTTTTAAAACAAACATTTTATTGGACAGTGTTTCTGAACAATTTTAATTCAATGCAAGGTTTGAACTGTGTGATTGTCTTTATAGTCCTTGTAGCATTTGAGAAGATTTATACAGACTTTCACATCTCATTGTAGACACAGGTAGGTGCTTCAAATTTCATCTCCAATTGAACTTACCAAAAGAAAAAATACATTAAGACAGATTTACCAGATCAGAATATTCACTGTCTACATTAGACTTTTGCATTGCATATATTCACCCTTTTACATTAAAAATGTAAGTAAAAAGTCATCCATATTCCATGAAGGAAGGTCTTAAATATATATATAAAAATATACTTTTAGATTTTATTTTTGATAGTAAAATTGAAGCTGTGGCTATGCGTTAACAATCAGTTTCTCTATCAGGTTATACATTGGCTAGTATTTCGGTCATGGATTCCTCTTCAAGGCCACTGCAAAATATATTTGGCAGGTCCCCTTAAAACATAGCGGATAAAAACAAACATTTGCTCTCTGCTCTTTCATTCAGTGTGTATTGTTTAAATGGGCTTTCCAGTTTAAACAGAAATTGATTACCTTCTTGGGACTCTTTTGTCATTTAACAAGAAAAGGACCCTTCATCCCACAGTCACCAAATAATCCACAGCAGACCCCTGTTAGACTGTTCTCAGTGCTCATTGCTAGACTGTTAGACTGACAGATGACCATTCAGATCCAGTGCTTCACAGTTGAAAGACCAGCATACCAGAAGGTGGTGCTGCAAATGACAATCTGCAGCTTCCGGTACTGGTAGACCAAGAGCTGTAGCAGGAAGGGTACCTCAAGTGTTACAACAACACAGAAGTGTCATTTTTATGTAGGTGACATATATTGGTTTTTTTACAGGAAATCCACTTGAAATAGACCAAGGTCCATACACAATGTCTGTGGTGTTAACGAGAAGTAATTTCTGAAAGTGACTTAACTGCCTTCAGACAGTTGCAGTAAGCCCAGTGTTCTCAACCAGAAACAACCACATTGGCCACAGGTAGAGTGTATGAGAAAACAAAGCAGTACACTAAACATGGTTCTGAAAAAACCTAAACAATTCTTTGCAACCTTACCAGGCTATTAAACACATCATAAATAACAATATATATATATAACCAACAGTATCATTGCTTGTTGTTTCAGATATACAGTGTTACATTCTATAGAGCATTATAACATGTATATAGACAGAAACAAATGAAAAAAATAAAAATGTGCCCGTTTATTCTGGTAACGTAAAACTATATATTTTATGTCTCTAAAAGATTTAACCCCTGACCGCTATAGAAAAATAAGTCCCTTATTCATATGATGAAGGTTATTGTTGTAAAGACAGTTAAGATATTAAACTCTGTAAATGCTTTATATCTGTCTTCTAATCAGAATGATAACTAATAGATGAGATCAGATACATACAGTAGTACGTATGTGTTTACAGACAGAATGATAGATTGTATGAAGAACATTTTTTTTTTTAATAAAGACAATCTGATTAAAAAAGATAACTAGAGAGGACTGATAGATTAAATGATAGACAGGCAGATGGACAAACTAGATCAGTAGATAGATAGATAGATAGATAGATAGATAGATAGATAGATAGATAGATAGATAGATAGATAGATAGATAGATAGATAGATAGTTGGATAGAGTAGAAAGACAGAAAAATGAATAGATGGATAGATAGATAATGGATTGAGAGATGAAAAGACAGCAAGTATGTACACTGATAGGTAAAAAGACAGAGAGAGAGAGAGAGAGAGAGAAATAAAAAGTGAGAGAGCTCTAAATGAAAAGAATAAATAGCTACACAGTAGATAGCTAGCTAGCTAGCTAGCTAGCTAGATAGATAGATAGATAGATAGATAGATAGATAGATAGATAGTTGGATAGATTAGAAAGACAGAAAAATGAATAGATGGATAGATAGATAGATAGATAGATAGATAGATAGATAGATAGATAGATCGATAGATAGATAGATAGATAGAATCAAAGGCAGAAGCAAAGCATCTACAAAATATATTGAGATAAGAAAACAAATATCTAGATTTGTTTCACTGTTCATAGTGTTATGCATTTGTTTTTACATTACACAAAATATAATTTGCGTGAAAATGCAACCTAAATAATGAGCATGTGATTCATATTCTTTGGTCTATGTCCTACTGTATGAGTGGAAGAATGAATATTTGTTGAGTTATGTCCACTGATCACTGCCTTTCCAGCTGGGAGGAAAGCATATTAAATAACACGGTCATTTTACCTTTCGGCAGCTCTTTGCACTGTCCCAGCAGCCACTCAAAGCAGCAGCAGTTATGTTTTACTTTCCTAAGTTTATCAAAATAGAACAATTGAATCTGCTCTTGTAGTTACACAAGATCCATGCTGCTGCAGGTACACTGACATCCTTTGTCTTACTCCCTTTTATTAGACATACATTAATACTGCACAAATGTATAAAAATATGGCAGAGTTGTCATCGTAACAATACCTTCTTATATATATATATATGCTTATAGATATAAAAATGACAGTTCATTTAACATATAAACAAACTACACACACAAATGTCTGAGTGTGCAGATAATATATATAATTATAGATTTTTTTAATATATATAATACTTTTAATGCAATATATAAATGTTATACTGTAAGTTTTCGTATAAACTACTTTCGCTATTGTACGGCTTCACAATGTTTTAAACAGCTCAAAATAACTTGACATTGTAACAATGATATGAATCTATGATAAGAATTAATCATAAATAAATTTTACAAAAAATATCAAATATGGAAGTGTTATTTCCTTAGAAATTTCCTTTATCTGGATAAATGTACTTTTTTTTAGCATTTAAGCCTAAAATAGCATTGTATGTTCTGAATAAGGCTACGCGTTTTTGTCTTATAAATACATGGGTCTTAAACAAGATAAAATGGTTTGGAGTTCTCTTCGTTTCGTGGAATTGGGGAAGTTCCTCAGATACACTGACATTATCTTCTTAATTTATTGCACATTCTAATGTCACGAGGAAACTGGCAGCAGAGGACCAGACAATCAACAAAAGTATTTGTGGGTGTATTTGCGGCACAGTGTAACCTCACACAAGCGTATTGCACATCAGTATATCTATAAGTACTTTCTTAAACATACCTCCCGCATGCCAATATTTTTTTTGGGGGGAGGGGAGACATGACTTTCTAACCATAAAATGGAGAGGTTCAGGAAAATGGATCAAATATGACATTTGAGAGGAGGTGAGAACAAGGCGCTTGACCCAGTTTTCTAGGTGGTTGGTGGAGTGTCTATGTTTAGGCCCACTTGCCTGGGTTTGGCAGCTACCCACAAAAAACGGGGTTCTCCCTGAGTCCAGGAGTCACCCAGTTAGTATGTAATCAAGCACTAGGGAACGCCAAAACCATGCTGGATCCTGGGTTTGTGTATCAAAGTCAAGAAAATGGGTAATCAGTGTGTGTTATCAATAGATAGCTTTGTAGTCAGCAGCATACACAAGCACAGGTCCCTGAGTTAGAGTCCTTTTAAGTATGTTAAAAGAATTTCTGATGAAGGGGGATTGCTGAGCCCTCGAAACACATTGGATATCTCTTGTCATCTTCCTGATAATTGTGGAATCAATACGTACTGTTCTGGACTCTTAGAGCGTGGTTTTGGCACTCCCTAGTGCTTAACTATAAACAAATATGAAATTTGGGCAGGGTTTAATGACTCAGGGGTCAAGCTTGGGTGGATCAGGATTGGAACATAAACAGTCAGCCCTCCTAAAACTGCTATTCCAGTTAAGGGTAAGCAGTGGTGGTGTACTGCAGACTATATATTATTTTTATTATTATTGGGCAACCCTGGAATGATCCCTGGCTTTACCTGTCCTGCCATATAAAATAAAAAAGAAAGCCAAAGGGAGCATGAGATCCCTTTATAATGGCCATAGCAGGTAAACTATACTGCAGAGACCTTGCTGCACTCAGAGATTTGAGAAAGTGGTGGGTTATCAACCATCTGTCTCCTCAAAAATAAATGTTAAAGTTTTGTTACATTTTCTTTCTTTTAAGATGCTGGGAGGTATGCTTAAATATCCATTACAAGCTCTTTCACCATATTGCCATTCACCCAGTACTCATTTTTATGTATACACTGACTGTTTTGTGAAGATATCAACTAAAGAGCAGTCTCTTTAAGGTCATTCAAATTTGGCAATCGGGTTCTTTTTGTCCGGTTAAAAGGTAGCCCGTTCTGTCCAGGTTTTGAAGCCAGCTTTTCGGGAAAAGAAGCTCCTTCACTTGTCCCTCTGTTTACTGGGGAAACATGCCAATGTGGTTCCGGCTGTCCAGGTAGCTGCAGGCCTTGGCGACTCTTTGACTGCGCCTCCTGTCGATGGGCAGAGCTGGAAGGCTGACCCATTGGGTGTATTCTGGCCTCTGAGAAGTTGGGTGTTTTAGGGGGTTGGTTTGGTAGAGGTTGGAAATGTGCATTTGGGGGAACTGAATGGTTTGATGATGATGATGGGTGCAAGAGTTTCCAAAGTGACTTCAGAGGCTGACTCTGCAAAGTAACAGGTTTGTAAGTGAAGAGGATATCTTAGCAGCACCTAAGCAGCCAATAACATGGCAGACAGTAACTAATCACATTTGAGAAAGTTTAAAAGCGCATGCTCCTTTACCTGTTATCCCCTACAGGATTACAAGTACAAGAGTAAAATGAGGTCTGGCCAAAAACACTGTTTAGTTTTTTGACAACATTGTCAACATTCAAAATTGTTGTCCAAATAGTGACTGCATCCAATCATATAACAACCAATAAAAACAAAGTTAGATAAACTAAATGTAAAAATACCTCAACCCCAAAAACTTTTTCAAATTCCCCTGCCCCCATGTGCATGCACATGCTAACACAAACATGTGTCAGGTGCGCCACACATGTTAAGTAACACTGTACAGAAGAGCAATAATTCTAGGGCCATTATTTAGAGTTAACTCTAAACCAATGGCCTGTAAAAGCTTTTAAAGCGTCACCTATAGACAATTTTAGGTACCTAGTTTTCTGTCATTTCACATTTTGAAGCTTAACATGTTGGGTATCTATTTACTTGGCGCAACCTCCTCTTTTATGCGTTACCAAAAATGTAGTAATATATTGTGTTTATGTGTGCTAAAATTAACTTAAAGAAGAACTCTTTTTCCTAGCCCTTTGTGGCAGCAGGCAGAGGAAAATGTCTGAGTCTAGCCAGAGAGACGCCCAATCGCTTGCAGTAGCTGCGGGTGTGCACCTCCGTCACCGCCTCCTCCCCCGGTCCCGAGATCTGCTGTGCCCGGTGAGGCTGGGACAGGCACGGCGATGCTGTCAGTGGAGATCAGTACACAATCTCCCTTTGATCTCTTCTCGGTCCCCGATTGCAGGAAGTGATGTATATTACATCACTTTCTGCATTCAGTGTCACTCTCCAGGTTGCGGATGCTGGTGAGAAGCTGATGAAGAAGATCTCTGCTTCATCAGCTTTTCTGGGGGTCCCTAGGTGACATTATGGGTCTTAGAGACCCCTTAAGTCACTAAATAAGTAGGACCTGTTATGTGAATTGGCTATCACATAGGGGATTTCTTAGTGATAGCAAGTCAAGTGTAAAAAAAAAGTTTACAAAAATGAAAGAATAACAAAAATAAAGAAGCTAAAAAAATAGTCACAAATAAAAAAAAATGTAAAATAACACAAACATTTTTTTAAGTCCCCCGCACCCCCCACTCACACACGCAAACATGCGAAAAATGACGATTCTGCTTATTGTGCCGCACATGTTACATATCGCCGTGAACATCGGAATGAGAGCAATAATTTTAGGGCCATTAATTACTGATAACATTAAACTGATGAGCGGTAAAAGCTTTTAAATCGTCGCCTATGGCCAATTTTGAGTGTGGTTGTTTCTTGCAATTTTACCCAACGTGACCCCGTCTTTTATATTTTACCAAAAAATTGGGGTGATAATAAATGTTTCATAACATTTCATAGGGAAACAGGTTTTTTTTTAAACAAAATTTAGGGTACTTTTTTTTGTTATATAGTAAAAAATAAAACCCACAGTAGTGATTAAATACCACCAAAAGAAAGCTCTATCAGTCCCCACAAAATGGTATAACATTTGTTTCAGTACAGCGTTGCATGACGGAATAAACGTCAGTTAAAGTACTGCAGCGCTGAATACTGAAAAATGGCCTGGCCAGGAAGGGGGTTTAACACTCTGGTCTTCAACTGGTTAATTTTTACAGAAAATCTGGGTTTGATAAACAGTTACACTACTATCCTGCGACATAAAAAAATTGCAACTGCCAGCATTTTATTCTACAGGGTCTCTGCTTTCAAATATATAATTCTAGGGAAGGGGGGAGGGGTACGTAATCTTCAGGCCTAAAATGTGTATTTTAACACGCGCAAAAAAAACTCTGCAAAATGGTTCTGGCTACTAAAGGGTTAACATATATTATTGCATTTATTGTTTTTTTTTTTATTATTATTTCAATAGCATTTAACTGAAGGGCTTAAAAATACTTACATGTGAGTGAATTTCTGCCATCTTGTCTGGACGCCATTCCTTGTGCCGGCTGCTTTTGTGACTGGAGGATAGAACACCCTTCTGTATAGGCAGATGTTCCTGACCTTCTGTATTAGGCATCTAACACAATAATAAACCAAATTATAATGCACCAAAATATATTTCAAAAGCACCAGTGTCATTTGTAAACCTTCCTACTGTAAATATATGAGGAGGTCATTCAGTCTCAAAGGGCTACAGTATGTTTAGTCACCGGCAGTTAAACTTTACTGATGATGACACTAGTGCCCCTAGATGGCACTAAGGAGTATGGGAAATTCCTAGACTTATCAGCGAACTTCTATAAATGAAACCCCTACCTGTAATAAAATTTGAAGTGGTTACTTTTTTGTGATATCAACAACTGCTATTTTTTCAGGCAGTTATTGTGTCATAAGTTAAGTTAAAAATACAGTATGGTGTATACTTTTTACATTAAACACTTTCATTTTATAATGCAGGACAACTGACTTTCTTGCAATGCTGAGTATAACCTTAGCTATCTCTTTTAGATATGTTTCCTAATTGTCTGTATTTCTAGTAAGGCACACTTTTATTTGTTGGCAGTGTTCTACGGAAAGAAAACAAATATCCGCGGGCACAGACAAACTGGGAAAATAAATTACAACCTTGACAGTGAGACCATCTGAAATGCAAAAGTCCAACTGTGGATACAATTTTGTTTTAGTTTCAGAGAAGGAAAGGATTAGAACCTCGGTCAGGTTAAAGCCATCTATGTCCCAGATTTCCCATCATTTCCTGTCCAAGTGCACCTGTTACTAGGTCAGGAATTAAAAGGGGATCTCACCAATGAAAATACAGACAGCAATCGTAGCTGAGAGAAGTCCTACCCTTCTCCAATCTACTAAAAAATATTATTCCTGTATTTATCTCAGTTGGAGAGATTTCACTTCACTATTGTCCTAGATGACACCTGCCCCTGAAATGTGATATCGGGGGACTCAACTAGCAGGCATATGAAAGGCCTGAAAGTAAGACAGCTGTCACAGGAAGAAGAGACATCTTCCAATGGGAAAATCTGTTTTGGTGACAACTGTCAAAGGTGAGATTTCACCTTATTTAGTGGAGCTTTTGCATTACTTCCTGTCACGTTTCTGGTAAAAGAACTGTAAAAAAAAACTCCCCTATGGGGACACAGACAGCAATAAAACTTGACAGAGGTTCAGACCCTATCACACACTGCCCAAAGTAAAAAGAAACATTTTTAAGTTAAGTTCTACCTGCCATTGAATCCTTGATATGTATTTTACTACTTTGTATTGCTTATTGAAAAATATGCCTACAATGTGTGTGAATATTTCTAGGAAGCCAACAAATGACACTGCTGCATAGGAAAGACAAATGCATAACAATACAAAGTCAGATAAAGTCACAAGATTGGTTCCATTCTTCCAAGAAGAATTTACACAACAGATTCCCTTAAACAAAAATAAACAGTGTTTGCCATGCAGATCGCTCCACTTGCCATTTACATGCGGTTAGTTCCCAGCAGAAAAGAAAGCGATAAGATAGAAAGATATATCTTTTTGGGGGAATAATCAGCTTGAGCATGATGAAAATTACTTTGAAACTTGAATTTGGTTTGGAAGTGCATGAGGTATAACGGAAAATGAATGTCTAATGTTGGAAAATGTCTAAACGCAACCAAGGTTTACAGTCCAACTCTCCCTTTCTGGCAAGATCAACAGTTTAAAGAAAAAAACTGTGCCAGTCTATGGACATTCAAATATTCACATCTTCTTAATGTGACCCCGCATCTTGCTATAGATATCATTTTCTACCAAGCCTTACCTGTTAAGTCTTCACTGAAGCCTACACTTCTGAGAGTGTTGATCCCCATTGTGCCCTGTAGCTCTCAATGGTTCCTCCTGCTGATCTTTACCCATTTCAGGAAACAGTAGTGATGTGGAGCTCAGCAAGAGCAGTGCCAGCTGCTGGGGACATTGGAGATTGACACTGCTGAAGTGTGGGTTTCAATTCGGACTTCATCAGAAGATTCTTCAGCATCAAAGGGTTTGGTAGCTGCAGGAAACGTGAGTATGTCCTGTCTTCATTTACAAGAATGGCTTGGTAGAAAGATATTTGTATTGTGACAGGCTCACTCAACAAGCAGTAAATAAGTAATAAAACAAACCTTCAATACTCTCTGTAATTCCAGGCACTGTTGAACAATCATCAATGCTTACAACAGAAGCCTTAATGTTCTTAAATTTGGGTCCCAGCAGTCTGCTTTCTTCCCCTTTTCCTGTGCACCTGCTCTGTGTTATTGGGCTGCCAACTCATTGCTGGCAGCGTGAGCAAAATGAACAGATTTGCTGATGTTTCTACTGTCTACTGTAGTCCGTTGTACCTGCAGCTATAGAGGTCAGTGAGGGTTTGGTTTAAAGCGTATTTAGTGCTTTTTAAGAATATCTAATTATTTGAATGTCCATAGCCTAGTCAAAGTTATATTTTAAGCTAGTGTTAGTCAACTTTGTAAGCAAAACTATTGATTGTATTCCCTTATGCCTACACAGACTTTTGAAGAAATCTGTGTTTCCAGTATAATATATTTAGATTTTATCTGTTGCCATAGAAGAACCATAGTCTCTTGGAATGTTTGCACATTCCAAAGAGTACTGCAGAAAAGTGTGTCTACAGTTCAGCCAGGGCAAAGAAGAAAATATACATTGGAGTAGGGATGCACTGGTATCGGTGCTGAGTATTTGGGCGAGTACTCATACTCGACCAAATGCTCCGATGCCTAGGCCGAGTTATTACACGCTGCCCGGGTTCCTGATTGGCCGGGAAGCGTATCATTACACGCCCCCCAGCTTTCTGATTGGCCAGAAAGCTGGCTTCATGTTCCCTCGTCACCTGATGAGGGAGCATGGAGCCGGCTTCCCGGCCAATCAGGAACCGTGCGCCGTGTAATGACGCGTTGCCCGGCTTCCTGATTGGGCAGCTTCTCGACCAATCAGGAAACGAGCAATGCGTCATTACACGGCTCCATGCTCCCTCGTCACCTGGTGATGAGGGACCATGGAGACGGCTTTCCTGCTAATCAGGAAGCCAGGTGGCGAGTCATTACACCCCGCCTGGCTTCCTTAATAGGACTTCCGGTATCAGTATCAGCGAGAACCGAACAAAAATATCGGTACTGTTGGGTCAAATGTAGGTGCATCCCTACATTTGACCCAACTGACAATTCAGAATCCTGCAAAAACATAATGAATACCACTTTACAAGTTCATTATCCAACTTGGCCTGCAGATTTGTAAGAAAGGAAGAGTTCTTTGCCAATCTTGTCATTCCAGGTGAATAATTAATTTGGCTGAAATATGTTTTAAACACTAGGACCTTGCACCAGTTTGTTATATATGAATAACTCAGTCATATCCATATTGTGTTTGTCAAATATTAATTACTGTACTCATTTATATATGTTATGCACATTATATTTTGAATACTAGTGTGTGAGTTTAAGCATGCATTTGATTTACAATGAACATGCGAAACAACTATACATGCTGCAATACAAAATGAAATAGTAAAACAGAAAAGAAGTGCCTGTATTTAAAGTAACACTGCTGCTTGGTTAAAAGATGTAACAAAGTAAGATCTGCAAAAGAAGAGATTTTATACTTTCTCGTCCAACCACCCCACCGGCCTTCGCTTGCAGAGCAATGATCTTCACTTTGTTGCAGAGCAACGTCCTCTTGACATCCCACTTGTGACTGTGTCACATGCCTGGTTTCCCCCTTTCCCACAATCTGTTCTTCCTTTTACCAGTCCCTAAATCACTATAGTTTACAGTAGTGCCATAGGGGTCAGGGGAAGAAACCAGGTTTTATGGCAGGGGACACATGCACCCGACACTCCTAGAAGTGTCCAAAGTGAAGATTTTTCAGCTGTTGAACAGAGTAAAGATTGCAGGTATGAATAAGGTAAGGTAAGTATAAATCCTCTTCTTTTGCAAGTCCTGTTTTGTTCCATCCCTTTTAAAAAAGTTACAGGGTTGCTTTAACAAAGTGCACTTGACTAGGTTTTGAGTGTAGTAACTCGTGGCAACAAATCAGCTTTCATTGTATTGTAGTCATAACAGGAAAATGATGGCATTTGATTGTCTTGGGTAAAGTCACTGTCGTTTGAACTACCTTAATACATAAGGCCACAGATCTAGATCCAATGTATCATGGTAGCTCAAAAATTAAACACAAGCAAAAACTGGCAGATAATTTTTTAACTGATTATTAAATGACTCAAAAAGATCCCAACGTTTCCAAACTATTTTAAAAGAGGGAGCACAATGGAGTTGATTTACTAAGATGTGGAGTTTTTACACATTAAGCTTAGTTATTAAAGCTCAGTTTGAATATGTAACCATGAATATTTAAAATGATCCCAGTAGAAGATTTGCACCACTGTGTAATAAAAAAGATGTCACATGGTGGTGGTGTTTCAAATTCTAATACAGCCTTTGCTGAGAAAAGTATAAAAAGGTGATATCTAATTTCTCAGCTAAGGCTTATGCTGCTCAGGGTAATTTGTGAAGTTGTCTGCTGAATTAAAAATACTCATAAGATTTCTCTTTAAGCTTTTAGTGACAAGGGACAGGAAAAATAACATTGAGGTATTTAAAAAGTTTAAATGTGTGCTTCCTGCGGCCAATAAATAAAAGTGGCACACACCAAATTCATTAATTTGTCACATGGTGGTTGAGTTCCAAAATCTAGTACATCGGCGTGTGTGAAAGTGTTGATGCAAATCTAAGAATCTTCAACTGGGATCATTCTAAAGTTTCTCCTTCTTCTCTCCTTCCTGCATTGCTGCAGTTCGCTGGCCACCTATACACATCCCCCTCTCCTCTGCTCGCTGCAGTGCTGATCATCGCTGCCGCCCTTCCTCACAACTCTGGTAATGGTGTATATTTTAGAACCGTTTTTTAATTAGAACTTTGGTACAACTCCATTATTATTTTGGTGCACAGGATCAGGCATGCATAGAAACTGTCACACAGGACTTTTAATGTGATTTGGTGCAGCTGATGCAACACCACATAACTTAGAAAGGGGAAACTGCACTACACAGAACAAGAAAGGGAAAGGATACCAATATTTACACCACAAAACTGACACATTTCCTTTTATCAATTTCCCCCACTGTTTCTAATTTGCAACTGTTCTCTTTCTTGCTACAGCTGTTTTTTTGGCACAAGGTACAAATGTGGCTTACCAGCAGCAACAACCAGTGTGTCAGCAATCTGACATCATAAATGATGTCGTACAAGACCAACTCCTACTGAACAGATCTCTAAATAATCTACTTGTAAAAGCAGAGGAGCAGAGATACTGTGACTTGCTTTTAATGAGCTGAGAAACATCACTTTTGGAAAAGTTAATTGGTGCCTGGAAAACGCTATCAGCATTTGCAAAAGTTAAAAAAAAACTAAAACTTTTCTAAGCAGCCTCCAGCTTAAAACAGAGACTTGATCGATGTCAGCTATATCAGACAATCAAGATATCTACTTGGCAGCAGGCAACCTAGCCCATCCATCTCAGTGGGGTATTGTTCTTGTTAGGTAAATGTATAAGGGCTGTCTGCTGAATCCCCACCGAGGTAGATGGCACTCCACTAATCCCATTCATCCCGGCTATCACCCAGGGCTAATTTTTTTAGGCTATTGTTCTCGTAAGCGGAATATATTGCTAGAGCATCGTGTTTTGAGTATTGTGGCTGCCGATTTAACTACTAGCATTTTCACTAAGCAATATATTAAATTATGTAGCGGGGTGCAGGTGAGAATTTAAGCAAGGAGATCTTGTGGGTGATACAGCTGAATTTTCCATATTGGATAACATTTAATGGCATCCAATGAATAATAATCTATCACCGGTGAATTTAGTACAAGCTGAATATTGAATATTTATTATGGCAACAAGCAATTTTCCAAGAATAGTAATCCTTGCAATTGACTCAGCAATTACTATGAATGTTATACACTGATAAAAAATGAATTCTTAGGTTTGCCATGGGTTACTGCACTCTTCCATTCTTCATTGCTCTTTATACAGTTTTATTAGCTAGCCCAAACAGAACACTGAGATGCATGATCAATGCACGAGTACAACATTTTGTTTTGCAGCATGTAACAGCCATATGGGTGTGAATGTGAGGATGCAAAATCTCTCTTAAGTGTATGGTGGCAGTGATGCAATACTGGGCTGCCAAATGCAGCTAAGCAAAAAAGAAGATGACAAGGATTGGAGCTTTTTATTCATTAGTGCTCATTGCTCCATCTGGCATTGCAAAGGTTCTGTGAAACAGTGGCAAGAATGGGTTATTGGGAACAGAACGAAAAAGTCTCCTGACAGCCCATATCCATGCTGTTTCATGTGATGGGAGGTATAAATGTTTTATTGCCAGCTTATTTAAATAAAAAAATACCATTGGCAGATTGACTACAGGCATCTTTTTCAAAGAAGAACTACGCTTTAAATTGTTCTTTGAACTAAAAAGTGGGAAGAGGCTTTTCTTGATGCTCGGTTTTTCAGACTCTGTGGATTCTGTCTGCAATATAAGATACAAATAAACTAATGGCATAGATAAAGTATTTGTATTGAAGCTTTGTAATAATCAGGAAATTATGACTTCAATTGCATTGCTATACATTATGAAATAAAAACACATCCTATCACAGTGAATATGTAAGCAGTAAGATAATTTAGTCCAGTATCACACTAGTGGTATGGAAGAATGAATATCAGTGGCTTCTTGGGGTAACACATTGCTTTTCCTTTAGACACACTGATATAGGAGGCTTGCTCAGGTCATATACAAAGTACATCTGCTACCTGTGAAAGAGTAAGCATCCTTTGTTACAGAAGTACCTGAAAAGCGGGAATTATGGAGAATATACGCCAATAATTTGACAGCAGACCCCACACTCTTATTTCTTGGTGATCAAAGGTGCCATTCAATATTTAATATATGTGGCCATTAGATTTACCTGTTATCATTGAATAAACTCACTCAAACAGGTTATAGTATTTATCTGCAATATATATCACTACCCAATACTGAAATGATTACTGTTTCAAAAGCGTAAAATTTTATTGGGCTAGGCTGGTAGCTTTCTGCTCAAACCACATTAGAAATGGGGCCAATTTAGTCCGAAGGCTATAAACCAGTGGTTCTCAACATGTGGGTCGTGATTTAAAAGTGGGTTGCAACCCGCCTGTGCTAGGTGAGAGCCTCCTCTTAGCGCAGCAGTGTCAGTCAGTGGGATGACAGCAGCGGCAGTGAATATAAAAGTGCCGCTCTACACACTCCCTGGCCGCTGCAGCGACATCTAGTGGCCAGGGAGTGCCTTTCCTATTCACAGCCGCTCATGTCCTCCTGCCTCCCATACATTGCAGGCTCTGCAGAAGGCAGGCGTTTTAGCAGTGCTGGGGCTGAGAAGGCTGCATGGAGACAGAGCAGGCAAGCAGGGGCTGGGGAGGGCTTGTATTCTTGTGAGTGTGCTTCTATTTTTAGTCCTGAGTCCAGTGCGTTACTAAGCCCTAAGTCCAGCGCGCTACTAAGCCCATAGTCCAGCGCATTACTAAGCCCAGAGTCCAGCGCATTACTAAGCCCAGAGTCCAGCGCATTGCTAAGCCCAGAGTCCAGTGCGTTACTAAGCCCAGAGTCCAGCGCGCTACTAAGCCCAGAGTCCAGCGCGTTACTAAGCCCAGAGTCCAGCGCGTTACTAAGCCCAGAGTCCACCACGTTACCAAGCCCAGAGTCCACCACGTTACCAAGCCCAGAGTCCAGTGTGTTACTAAGCCCAAAGTCCAGCACATTACTAAGCCATGAGTCCAGCGTGTTACTAAGCCCAGAGTCCAGCACATTACTAAGCCCAGAGTCCAGCGCGCTACTAAGCCCAGTGTCCAGCCCGCTACTAAGCCCAGTGTCCAGCGCGCTACTAAGCCCAGAGTCCACCACGTTACTAAGCCCAGAGTCCAGCGTGTTACTAAGCCCAGAGTCCAGCGCGTTACTAAGCCCAGAGTCCAGCGCGTTACTAAGCCCAGAGTCCAGCGCGTTACTAAGCCCTAAGTTCAGTGCGTTACTAAGTCCAGTGTGTCAGTAAGTCCTGAGTCCAGTGTGTTACTAAGTCCTGAGTCCAGTGCGTTAATAAGTCCAGAGTCCAGTGCATTACTAAGCCCAGAGTCCAGTGCGTTACTAAGCCCAGAGTCCAGCGCGTTACTAAGCCCAGAGTCCAGTGCGTTACTAAGTCCTGTGTCCAGCGCGTTACTAAATCCAGAGTCCAGCGCATTACTAAGCCCAGAGTCCAGCGCTTTACTAAGCCCAGAGTCCAGTGCATTACTAAGCCATGAGTCCAGCGCGCTACTAAGCCCAGAGTCCAGCGTGTTACTAAGCCCAGAGTCCACCACGTTACTAAGCCCAGAGTCCAGCGCGTTACTAAGCCCAGAGTCCAGCGCATTACTAAGCCCAGAGTCCAGCGCATTACTAAGCCCAGAGTCCAGTGCATTACTAAGTCCTGAGTCCAGTGCATTACTAAGTCCTGAGTCCAGTGCGTTACTAAGCCCAGAGTCCAGTGCTAGAAAGGTTGAGAACCACTGCTATAAACCTATTATTATGTAATTAGGCTGTAATTAGCTCCCGAACTTGCCCAAGTGGCTCAGTCGAGCCGAAGGCATATGCTTCGGCTCGGCTGAGTCGCGCTGAAAGCAGAAGCTGGCCAAGCGGCCGGCCGACAGCCTGCTTCTGACAGCTGGGCGGAGCCAGCCGTGATCTTACTTTTTAAAATGTTAAAAAAAATTTTGACGGCAGCAGAACCGCCGGCCAATAGAAAACTGTTGGGCGGACCTAGCTGTCACTGCTAGCTCCGCACAATCGTTTTCTATTTTTCTACTTTTTTAACTATTTTTCTGTTCTGCTCGGTCCAACAGAAGGAGCGAGCAGAACAGCCGAGCCGAATGCCGCTCAGCTATCTATAAGAATAGACCGAACAGCAGCGAGTAGCCTGCCGGAGGTTCGGCTTCGCAGATCCAGATGTTGGATCGGCTGAGTCGAACTCCTTCTGCACTTCGGGTCGACCCGAAGCCACCCGATGTATGAAATCAGCCGTACCAGCCTGAAGTGAATAGCCGAACAGCGTTCGGCTCACTTCACTTCAGGTCGGTCTTTCACTTGGCTGCCTACGGCAGCTTAGTGAATAGACCCCTAAGTTTTATTCGTACCTAGAATGGGTAACCCCGTTATCATTTTATAAACTGTATATTTTTCAGTTAACATCACAGTTCCGGCTGCCAGCTCTGGCCAAAGAACTAGTCCCTGCTCCAAGTTTCATAGTAAACAAACACGACCACCACCAAGCTCAGTAATCATTTTATCGAAACATTTTGGGTTACACAACCCACTTGATTCCATGGCTCTGATATGTTTCACGCTATATAGGGCTTAGTCATAGAGCTACCTGGAAGGAAGAAGGGGCTGAGATATTTGAACACCAGTCATTATGGGTCACAGCTCCATCTGATTGTTAAAGGGGAACTTCACCCTTATCTTAAAATTGATAACAAAGACACCTTTAGAACTGTTCAGTGATGGCAATCTACAAACAGATACTTATAATATTTGCAGGATTTGTATTCTTCTTTACCTCCCCATTCTTCTCAATGTGGCCATTTTTACTAAGAGCTGATGAATCCATCTCCCTTTGCTTCCTGGATCATGTGACCGTAACATGTGACAGTGCACATCATATGAGGGGCAAAAATAAGCCTTTTCCCTGGGATCTCATGCAGTTTACAGATGAGATTTCCTAGGAAAGGCACTGATGATGTTGCTTTCCCAGGAGGAATCTGTGAGTCCAGGGCTACATCACCAGTGCCTCACTCAACCAGGAAGTAAAAAAACAGTAATTGTTAGTAAAAGCAAAAATTTTTTGTTTAACCAATGTATGTAATTCATAATTTCATATTAGCATACAGAGCTGCATGCTGATGTGATTTAAAGGGGGTAAAGGTCTGCTTTAAAGGTACAAAAGCTGATACTTTCAAGATACATCAGCTTGTGATTCCCTTAACATAATGTTGCACATATTCTCCAATAAACTTACAAGATTTTTACGATCATATCCAATAATGCAATACACCCATATTAAAATATACAAAATATATATCTATGATTGAGCCCTATACAGGGTGAAACGTGTCAGAGCCATGGACCTAGGTGGAAAGTGTTATCCGAATATGTTCCCATAAAAGGAATACTGAGCTGAGTGGTCAAGATAGATATCTGCAAGATAGAAGTGCTACCCAATATACCACAATATCTGCCATTAATTCCAACCCTTAAAGGTGTTTTATAGGAAATACATTACAATAAGTTTAAATGTCCTCCAAATGTGTAGGTTTATAACATCTTAACATCTAGGCAGTGAATGGAGAAGGCTATTCACTTAATTTTTGTCTCTATGGCTTGGTACACACATGATCAAAGTGTAATTGACTATTCTGCGGAATAATTTGGCCCGTACATGTGTGTGCCTGTCACTGTGCACAATGAAAGCAGCTATTTAAGGAGATGATTCAATATCCAGTAACATCACAATAGCATCCCATGAAGCTGTCTAACACCCACTCTGTTAATTTGTTATTAGCCAATGACATGACCACTTAAATGTCACTAAGACTGGATTAAACACATAGCTATTTGTGCAATGCAGCCAAGCTGAACATCACTTACAACAATTGGGCAGCAGATTTGTTAACTAGCAACTGCAAAGAATTAAAGGACTCAGTATCACATTTGATATATTAAACATTTAAATGTTTGTTTGATACATGGGAATGCTAGCTGAATCAGGAAGAAAGTTGTGACAGGCTTGGGCGGTGTACAAATCAGAAGAGGAAAGACAGATCTTTCACTACACATCATTCTTGGTGAAAGATCTGCCCCTCCGTGTGACCCAAATTTATAGCAAACTGATCAGATAAAAATGTTGATTTAGCCAACAAAATGGCTACATACGGGTGACAGGTACATATTACACCGGCAATTTTTTTTGTGCTTGAATGAGGAAGCACTATGTGACTGTGGGTGAAATATAAGCTCCTTTTTCAAACACTGGGCTTTCTACATCCCCTAGCCCAAGGCATAATAATGATGATATCAAAAGTCACACATAAAAAATACAGTAAGCAGAAAAACTCACAGGCTGGGATTTCTTCTTTTTCTTTTTTATGACTCGGAAAAAACTTTGCTTTTCTTTATCTTTGATTTGTTCTGAATGGCTTTTTTCTACACCTTTCCTGCAAGGAAAGAACAAATGTGAATTAGAAAAACATGTTTTTCATAAGCTTCCTTAACAACTTTATGGCCAATAAATTGGATGTTAAATACAAGACTGACATCATCAATAGTTTTACCAGTATAATTAATTATTATCAACTTTTCCAGATAGAAATGTTCAAACTTTATTACATGTATATCACAGCTTGTTTTCTGTCTGTCACAAGTTCATGGAAGGCTGTGTGAGTGGCTGCTGCTTTTGAAGAGGTTCATCCATATATATTATCCAGGAAGCACAATCAAAAAATGCTTCCACCTGTATTCAGTGGTTTGGCTCTGAATTTTGGACAACTGAGCAGACTAATAACAGTGGTGAGAGGTATGCACAAAAATATTAAAACACTGTAAAAGAGTTTAAAAGGAATTGCTAGACATACCAATATATTAAATACTATCAAGTTGATTTTGAAGATGCAGGCTCCATGGTTGTCAACCTAAGAATGAGATGATGCGTGGACCTATATGGGTTGGACTTGATGGACGTATGTCTTTATTCAACCCCAAATACTATGTAAGTAACCTTATCCTTTTTTCACTACATAAGGGGTTAGTGACCGATTGTTGTGCATATCAGGGGTTAAGACAATTGATATATACATGTTTTTTCATGTAGCACCTTACTAAATAGCATGGAGACTGCACCTTCAAAACCAAGTCAGTGATGCCCATATTACTAGTCTGACAAGTTTCCTTGAATTGCCATTACCTACATTCAAATCCCTTCTGTACACCATGAAAGGACAAGAAAATCTATTTCTGCTGTTTCTTCAGTGGCCACTAGGTGTCTCCAGGATCACACAGTCCTAACAGCATACGCTTATTCTGCAGTCTGATGAACATCAGCAGCCCTACATTTCACCACATTTTTCCACATTAGTCTCTCAATGCCATATGCTAGTATATTCACTCACATTCATCTCACTCACATTTCCCTTTTAAGAAGAGGGAAGACAATATAAGGTCTTCCCTCTTCTTCACTGTGTGCAATCTCTCCTGTCTCCCTATCACAATGGTCTGCTTGGGTCAGCAGCAATCCAGACACAGCAGTTAAATACATGAGCTGTTAAACACTCTTCTTACCCCAATGTCTGTGTGTGTCAAGTGCACCAAAATTGCCAGTAGTCATTGAGAAAAGTGGACAGCAGAATTTTGCTTGTACTGCATTGCAATAATATTTTTAGATTGTATTGTGATTGTAATGTCTTCCTTATATTGCAAAGCGCTGCACAAACTGTTGGCGCTATATAAATCCTGTATAATAATGATAATAATAATATTCGGCCTCTCTTCTCATCTGTATCATTAACCAAAGAGACATGTTCTGTGCATTATACCTTACTTGTATGTATAGCAAACCTGGTTGAGAAGGTGTTAAAAACTATACAAGGCACTGTCTGGAAGCACCCAATAAACATATCGGTGCTTGCGCTCAGCATTCATTTACAATCACTTCCAGGTGGGCTGAATAATCTCTTCAAACACTCCATCTGAATGGAGAAACAGGTTCATTATATTATTCTTGAAGCTCAGCAAGATGCCTCTGAGAATGCAGCTCTGAATTCCTTTGCTTAGGATTTCATAGATAACAAATTCAGACTTTTTATTTCTTCCACTTGTGACATGGAAAGCATGAACATACAGTGCTCTGCATAAATATTCATCTCTCTTGTAGTAGTCTGCATTTTGTACTGTTAAAACACGGAATTAAATAGATTGAACAGGGGGTTTCATGTTACTGCTCTACACAAAATAGCTTATAATGTTGAAGTGAAAAAGTTACAGTTTTCTGAATTATTTGCAGATAAGCTAAAAAAAAGTCTTGCGTATCACGTACTTTGCTGTGAAACCTGTAAATAAACTGTGTTTATTTAAGGTATCCTATCGTCTTCTGTTTCTGGATGGCCATGGGATATTGTTATCAGATTCTCAAAATAAAACCTGCAGGCACCCTAATCACCATGCCTTTAACTAGGGATGCACAGATACTTTTCGAGTACCAGTGCAGATACTTGGCATTTTCATGAGAACTACCAGGGTTGCAACGGTTGCAGCTGGGACCTGGCTCTGGCGCTCCACCACTGTCCTAAAATCATTCGTCTGTATTGTTTTAGAAAAACTGTCACATGACAATAAACAAAAATGTATCTGTGCTCGTACTTGTAAGTACTCGGCAAGTACCAGTACTCGCAAAACTGGTATCTGTGCATCCCTTTATTTATATTTATAAAAACAAAATCGTACATTAAAACAGAGATGTACAAATCCCAGGAGCTCCGTGTGCTCCTTACAAATGACAGCTGCCTCGTAATTTTTGAATTTTTCTCTAGTGTAGTCTTGGAGCTCCAAAGTATCAGTACATGTACTCGTACTTGTACCGAGTAGTGTACTTGGTATCTGTGCAACCCTACCTTTAACCACACCCACACAATCACACTCCCATTTTCAATGCCCTTAAACACTTGTTTACAGACTTTTGGAACAAGAGACATTCAAATTATAAACATGAGGGCTGTGGAAGGTGAAAAAGCTTTGGGTGAGGTTTGGAGCTCTCCTCACCACTGGGCACTGGCTGCAGAGGACACAGAGTCGATAAAAAACCCCCAGCTCCAAGCACGGAAAAGAGAAGCAGAATCAACTAATCGATAATGAGAATCGTTGACAATGATTGTCATTACCGATTCTTTAATTGAATCGATTCGTTGTTGAAGCCCTAATAAAGATACAAAATAAACAGTTTTCAAATAAAGGGGACCAAGATATGCATGAGAGCATTATTTATATGCTCCAGATCAGATTCAACTGTTTATTCTTCGACTGTCACTTTCAAGGGCAAATATAAATGTTATTGCTATTGGACAAAACTGACTGCCTAAAACAATTCTTTTGCTATACACTCTTTATAGTTGGCCCTAGAATAAAAATGTTAGTAGAGTAGCAGATAGATAACTAATGTATTGAACTCATGTTTAAATGATAAAAATCTTCTTGGAAGCTATAGACAGCAGTCTCACTCTCCACATTTCTTTGATTCAGTGCATATAAATAGTCCGCTCTCTGTTAATATATGTGCAAATGTTTGTATCGATCGATTGCTTTAGGTGTTAAATACTTGATTTTCTGTTTGTATACAGTAAACATTCTTCTAACATTCTTATGTATCATAACAATGACCATCCATTATTTCATTCTCCGACTACATAGTCATGTAGGGGTGTGTACAGGTCAGTCCAAAATTCCATTTGATTGCACTGGTTGTATTTCAGCTCTTCCTGGAAAATTCAAAGACACTGCCAGGCCCACTAGGACTTAAAATTAATTTCTGGGTCTGGAACCACCTTCTGAGTAGGCAAACACTGGTGCTCCAGCTGTGGTGCAACTAAAAATCGCTTTAGGCATTAAAAAACAGCCACAGGCACGACTCGCAGAGGCAGATGCATGACGGGATTTGTAGTTTCTCCACAGCTGGAGGCTCAGAGTTGGCCTACCTGTTCTAGTTGGATATTCTTCATACAGCTCTCCAGGGGACATCATATATGATGCCAAAAATTCCTGCAGTGGTGTAATATCCCATTTATAATGCGTGAAAAAGAAATACATGCCATTCAAACAACTGATCACTTTTCATGTAATTGTAACGGTTATTATAACTATCCCTTTAAATAGTATCACAGCATAACCCTCCTTTTGCTGACATACATTGAAGTTTCAGGAATGATAGCATGTTCAATTATTCACAGCATTTAGTCAGCAGCTATGGCAGGAATCCCAAGAGTAATGACTGCTAAGAGTCACAACCAGTGACCTCATTTTGAAGCTTCCCTTCCTAACACGAGAAACACACTTATTATCTTAGCTCCATTTGTTTAAATTAATCAGGTAAGTGCTGTGCGTCTAGCTAGGCTGCAATAAAAAATAAAGCAGTAAGGAGATGTAGGCAATGCACCTTTTTGTCCAACTCTATTGGGAGCTGCTATTATGACTTCAGGTTTAATTACAGGCGGCAAAGACTGGATCACATTTCATAACTTTGCTGCATTGCATTTAATAGTTACTTTACAGATATTTTGATATCCGACTATACCAGTGACGTGCGTTACCTCTTGCTCGGGGTGAGGCATTCCCCAGCCCCGCCCCCGTCTGCTGAAGCCCCACCCCCACCGACCAAAGCTCCACCTCCTGTAGGCTAAAGCTCCGCCCCGTAGGCTGAAGCCCAATCCATCACCAAGCTAGTGGAAAGAAGGAGACAGGGAGAGCCTCCCTGTCCCTCACTTGCTCCTCACCGCTGAGGCTTCGTGGCAGGTCACACAGCGGGGAGGATTTGCCTGCTGTGTTAGCTGTTAGATGCCGATCTGAATGGAGAAAAAGCTGTCAGCTGCAGGCATGAAGCTGACAGATTTTTCCTCCATAATTCTAGGTGAGGCTCTGCCTCACCTGACTGCACATCCCTGGACTATACAGTATATGCAGGGGCATAAATGTCCTTACCGGGGCTGAAAACAAAACATATTGCTAATTTTCATTGCTGTAGAAAAAATGTTGAACTATAAAATCCCATATGTGATGTAGGCAACCCATACCCATTGGGGAGTGGGCAATACTATGGCAGATGAGGTTTAATGTCGATAAATGCAAAGTAATGCACTTTGGACATAAAAATAAACAAATAGGCTATACAATCATGGGTATGCCACTAGGGAAGTCAGAAATAGAAAAAGATTTGGGGGTCATTGTAGACCACAAACTGAATGGTAGCTTGCAGTGCCAGGCTGCTGTAAACAAAGCTAGCAGGGTCTTGCCCTGTATTAAGAAGGGGATGTATTGCAGGGACAAGGCTACAGGTGAAACTCGAATAATTAGAATATCGTGCAAAGTTCATTTATTTCACTAATGCAACTTAAAAGGAATACCAGTAAGATAGGGCTCTTTGTTGGTTTTTTACCCCCTGGAACATTTTGTAAACACCTGGTGATCCTCCTGCTCTTTAGCTCCCTTGTCACCCATGCTTACCCCCAGGACTCTTCCAGAGCATCTCCTACCCTTGCAACTCCCTATTCCAAACTTTATGGGTGTTGCTACTTTGTCCGCCTTTAGGCAATCCCTGAAAACTCATCTCTTCAAGGAATCCTAACCCACCTCCACCTTACAACTGAACTTTTAATTTCTCCATCAACTCATTCCCACAGAATTATTACCTTTTGTATAACTTTCCGCTCCCTTTTAGATTGTAAGGTCTCACAGGCATTGTATTAAATTGTATTGTAATTGTACAGTCTTCGTTTATATTGTAAAGTGCTTCACAAACTGTTGGCACTATATAAATCCTGTGTAATAAAGGGACCAGGTTCTTCCTTCTGCAACAATGTCAAGCTTGCTGCTGCTGTAGCTGCTTAGAAATTGGCACAGTTGACAGCCCTATTCATGTATAACCACATCTAGCTACACAGCCTTTTAGATTGACTGCCCTGCTTTGTTCCACCCATTCCCTCGAGCACTGTTAAGCACTGGGTGTATGGGAGATCCAGCTTCCCAGTGCATTTACCATTAAAAAATATTGACCTTTAGCATGCCTACTTGCCTTGAAAATGCCTGTTTATCACACAGACAGTTAAAAATACAGGCTTTTGATGGGCTTCAACCTTAGATACAGACAATCTAGCTGACCCAACGAGATGAAGCAAGCATGAAAATAAGATGGATTTAGATTTAACCAGGGCTCTTTCATTTTTACACTTAAAATTTAGCAGCAGATGTAAAATACTGTTGCATCACTTACTCCTACCTATAAAATATAATGGAAAGAAAATTTAGAGGCAGATGCAAAATACTTTGTATCACTCACTCTTACCTATAAAATATTATGGAAAGCAAAACTGTAACATTACATCAGGATCACTAGGATTCAATGCAAACCATCACAACTTGCATCTTTAGGGGGAGATTTTGAGAATGTGCTAATGGCTAACAAGTACTCACAAAGCCCATATCTTCTCCCATCAATCATATTCCCCTTTGCTAAGAATCGGATTCACTGCTATAAATCAAATATTTGTCTCAGGTAGACCTTCAAAAACTCCAACCCCCCACTGGGGTTGATTTAGTAAAGGGCAATGGGTTATTTGCTTTGCAAAGGAATTTTTAATTGCAAAGAGAATTTTCCTTTAGCTTCGTTAATGAGTGGAAGAACTGCAGACTTCCAATCATGTGCAATTTTTTTCCCCCCTTGCACGTGATTGGGTATGTTTTGCAAAGTGAATTTTCATCCCATTCACTAAGCTAAGGGAAAATTCGCTTGTAAAGTAAATCAACCCCTCTTATATTTTACAAAACAACCTTAGAAAGCTTACTGAGACCAATCCTCCAAAAACAGCAGGTGCCAGAAAAAAGAAAGAGGCTGCAAACTGAAATGGGAGATAAGTGCTAATAAACATAGAGAACATATCATGAACTCCTGGACACCTTTTATTTTTAACTCACAGGTTTACACCATGTTTTAGAGCAGATGTTGTAATATACATGACCAACGGGGCAGATGGATGAAAGTGCTAGCTCATTCCAACACAGTGGTACGGAGATCCTAAATTAGGCACAAAACACTGTTCTGTCTACAATAAATGTATGGGGCAAAATTTAGAAATGCCCTTCCTACCTCCTCGTGGTAGAACACTCATTTAAATATATACCGCTTTGGATCAAATAAAAGTAACCCCATACAATCAGTCAACATACTAGCGGTACCGATATCATGTACACATCAAAGTGTGATGTAATAATGTGCTAATGTCCATATCTGGCTTGTCTGGCCTGTCAGCCCCAAACAAGAGTTGCTCCCAGAAAGCAGTAGTGTCCACAAATGACTGGGTAGGAAGTTAACTGGATCAAGCTTGAATTACCAGGTCTTGAATAGCAGCCGGTCTTCGGTACCATCACACTCTCTGCTTTCCAGTGGAGAATTTGCTTGCAGCGTGTAACATACCACTGCACACCGTCAGTTGCGATGGCATCAGCATACCTGGACACTGCTAGAATGCGGATGAAGGAAGGCATGCAGCCTTTCCTAACACCTATGTGTTTGCTGACGTGCAGATTTTAAAGGCGAGCCCACTATTCAACCTTGGAAGACCTGCTGTGCAAGCAAGGAACGTTGCAACTGTAAGCTGCACCATGAAAGCTGTATTATAGTATAGGTCTTGATAGATTAGTGGCATGGGCATAATCATTTGAAGTAAATCATGCTGTGGCCTTGATTGGTGTTTATATTGACAGTTCACTTATGCACGCTTATGTTGCACCCCCCTGTGCTGCTTTGTCCAGTCTATTGATATATGTTTTGCTGCCCTGGATTAGTGTGGTCTGAGTTAATTGTAGCAGATATATGGAGGAAGTATTTTCTCCCTCCCTTTTATGTTTTCATTTGCTACATGGACTACTGATGCCCTAATATATGATGAGAGATGATGTATACAATTAATAAGAGGTTAATAGATTAAAAAGAGGTTAATAGGATACGTTCTTTTACAGTACAATGGTTTAATGCAACCAAAAACTGTTTGCAAATGTTCTGAAACTAATGCACAAAACTGCACCTATGCAGAGTCTACTAATGATGAAAAAGTAGATACTCACCAGTGATCGAAAGTAGTTTGTCTCTTTGAGTGATTTGTTCCTGCACTGCTGTCAACTGGATGTGAAGAACTGCGGTTTGACGTGCTATTTTCATGAAAATTTCCCTCTGGACGAGGCGATGGAACTGTGGAGAAGAGAATGGTATCACATCAGAAGTACACTAAAAGGAAAAAAATACAGTTGTAAAGAGAAAATAAGAAAATAAGTCAGTTTAATGCTCCTCTGCACTCCCTATACTTGATAGCTAGCAATATTTTAAGATGCTGTGTGTATTTGCACACTATGCACAGCATGAGCATTAAATGGAAGGTACTTACATGTTGTCACTGTGATTGCAATTCCAAAAATACTCTGTTCTTCTATCCAGCATTTTGAGATTTCTGAACAGTGGCATGCTTTTCTCCTACAAACAGCTACTAACTATCGGATTGCTGGCTCTGGTCCACCCCTTTCTACGCCTCACTACTAAACCCATTACTGTGATGAGTGACTTCACTAATAGTGAGACGCGGGAGGAGCAAAGGGGTGGGTCAAAGCCACTAAAAGGAAAGGCGGCTACTGTTTTCAGAAGAAAGGTATACCCCAATTTAGAATCGTATGATACTACACAAAAGAACAGATCTGGTGTACCAACACCTGAACATGCCTACATCACCAATTTTCATTAGGTAGGTGGAGACAAGCATACATCCATACATCTGTGGCCAACCGTACATCCAGAACTGCTGGAATATAGCAAAGATACTACTTAAAACACAACGCTAAGTATCCAACTTGTTCAAGCTTTTCAACTGGTATCTGTGGAAGATAAAAAAAACAAAAAAAAAAACTATGGCTGCTATAGAGTAGGGGCTTGGGGAGCAACATAACAAGCAAAACTATCAAACTGGACCTAAATTTAAAAGTTAACATAAAGCCATGTTAACCATCCTGCTGGTATGTCTAACATGAGAGCATTAGTAGGGTTGTCAAAAGCAATCTTAAACCTGATCTTCCCCTTCCTCGGAAATCATATGACCAAGTGTGGGCTGTCACACATGTAGCTAGCACTGAAGTGATTCGTTCCATGAAATCATAATTTCAGTCCTTGTATTTGGTCCACTCCTACCCCTTTTTTGTATCAGATTTATAGGGCAGCTACCAGTGCATAGGAGTCATCTTATTCCATTAGATGATATCATGTAAGATGATTGAGACAAAGAAACTATGTGCGCACACAATTTTTCACACAAAAGGTGAAAGTGGACAGTGTTTAATTATTTTGTACAGATTTCTCCAGCTCTGTGTACAAAAGGATACTTTATCAATTAACTAAACATATCTTCTATCTTAAGAAGCTGATATATAAAACTGATAATTATGACAGCTATTCTCAAGTCACAAACATGTATTGTCTACACCTCTACAGCTTGGTTTTTAGGTAAAGAATTGCAAAGCCACCGCAAAAAAATGTTACATCAAGGGTCCTGGTGTTCTTAGCCTCCCTACTGAGGCACAAAGCCTTGTACAGGATACTGAGTGGTAGCAGTCTTACCATGAGTGGATATAATAGTATTGCTTTTCCATGGATTGATTAGGAAAATGTTAGTGTAATAGTCATAATCTAAACAGAGAACAGGTTTTACCTCTGTAGAAGCTTCCAACCCTTCGAGGGACTGTGTCACTGTATATATGGCGGTTTTCTTTGGAGGATGCCAAGTCATCTGTATGTGTATCATGATAAGGACCTCCCTAAAAAAAAAAAATATACAAATCCATTATTTCTGTTGGCATAATTATATACATATTATATCCCTCAAAAGACAAAAAAAAAATCAAATTCAAAGAAGCACCCACAGAAAACTCCATAAAATGACTTTCAGCTAAAATTGGGAAGGCTTAGAGCCTCTGTCAGGTTTTAACTGCCATCTGTATTCTTTATTGGTGAGATTTCCAACAACTTCTCTGACAATGACACAGATAAAAAAAACAAAACAGGATTTTAGTAAAGTATTAGAAATTCTGACCATGTTTTTATTACTGCCTGTACTTTATTGTCTCTTCCCATTTATTGTACAGTAGTCATAGCTTCAGGAAGTGAGAGGAAATTTCTCCAATTGAGGCCACACACTAAAATAAAAACCTACTCTATTAAAAAATAAAATGTTGTACTTAATATAAAATCTCTCTCTTAAAATCCAGTGAGGGACACAGGAACAGTAGAAATCAAAGTAGGTTATACTGCTGCCTTTAGCAGGATTTGACACTGGCGAAACAAATAAAACTAAGCCAATTCTCCAACTGTCATGCTTGTTTTGTTGTTTTGGTAACACACAAAGAGGATGCACTGTTCTAGATCTGGATAGGAGGCTGTACTGTACAGGTAGTATTTAAGCTGCATCTATTAATGAAGGTCACACATAGAAATGTGTTATTCCCAAATAGACATCTAATGATAGAATCAGTGTTCAGAGATAGGAAACATAGTAGCTGTATTACAATTCGACTTCGAAACAGCATTCTGCCAGTAACAGGCACAGTGCCACGGCAGATCTGAATGTCCAGGGAACATAATATTTTCCCATACAGAAGGAAATAGAGACTAGGTATACCAGAGGTAGTATGTCTGCTCCAAACAATATGAGTACACCTAGCTAACACACAGGGGTCTGGGAAATAGCATAATGTAGAGCATAGTGTGTAAAGGTAACAGACAAGAATGCCTTTGTTATTTCCTGAATTCCATTACACAAGAAAATATTAGACACTGAGTATATCGGAGGTAGTATCCCTACTCCAAATAATGAGACATCTCTCGGCTAATAGACTTGGACACAGAAGTCTGCAAAATAGCATAATTTACAGTGCAGTGTGCGAATGTAACATACTGTACATGTCTCTCTTTGGTATTTCCTGAGGTAAACTGCACAGGAAAATTAAAGAGACTGGGTCACCTGAAAGTGATCTTCACCCGAGGGGACAGTGCCCTATGCAGAGTTTAAAGCGCAGATAACACTTATCAAGATATCTGAGTCAAAGCGAGACACAAGAGACTGATGCACCAGAGGCTACATCACTGCTCCAAAGTGTTAAGCGTTCTGCAAGGTAACTGATATAGTACACGCAGGCTTGGAAAAAGCAAAACTGTGGAACTGATAGATACTACTAGTTTTGCCAGTGTCCAGTCCTCCTAAAGGCAGCAGTATAACCCACTCGTATGTGATTTCTTCTTTTACTGTGTCCCTCAATGGACAATAAAGAACAAACTTTTTTGCTGGAATTAGGTTTTAATTATTGTTAAGATTGCTGGATATAAAATCTTCTGGGCATTTTTAAGTCAGCTTACAACTTACAAATCACACTGATTTCACATTTCTTTAAACAACTACATAAAGTAAAACAATTTTCAGAAAAATGGCTATTGCTCAATTAACATGCAAACTTGATACAGAAACAGTTGCCATTGTATCTAATATTGCGGTACAGCCTACAGTTCCACAAGGTGCCATTGCAGACAAAGGAAGATTTACTGTACCAGAAGTGATGATCAAGTCCATTTCTGATCTGATAGTTTCCCACTGGATTGGCACATCTAACAGTGAATCACGGTTAGGAATACAACTGTGTGTGCCACGTTGTGGCAGATTTCTCAGTCCATGAATCATTGCCATCAGTTTTGTGTAGGAAAATATTTTTTGTTACATTTACTTTTGATAAGCAATGACTTGTTTATCTCTAAATTTTCTCAAAAGCTGTGAAATACAGTTAATTTTTTTTTAGTCCTTTAAGTGAAACCTTGACATGTACCCACATTGCACAGCAGAGCAGCTACTATACAACCAATATTCTGCTCTGCCTGACACCAAAAGTGACCCAAAGAGATGCCACCCGAGGCAACAGCCTCCGGCTGGTTCATTAAAGGGACGGCCCTGACCAAAGTGGTGGCGGTAGGGGGGAAAAGGAGAGGTTACTTTAAGCAATGGGGAAGCGGGAGGGCAATTACTTGAATGTGGCCAGTGTTTGCAGGACTGAGGCTTTAGTTTTGATTTCTAAAGCCTGATTTAATTTTTTTTTCAAGATTCATCAGTTAATCTATGTGTCAACATTACCAAGACACCTATAGGGATCATACTAAATTCTTTAGAAAAACTGCTAGCTAACAGGTACATTTTTTTGGAAGGTAAGTGCTAAACGGTTTCATTCACTAGCAAAGGATAAAGTAGTAGATGAAGCACTGATATATATATATATATA